TTGCCATTTTCACTGTCGCTGGATCATCTGGTTTATTTATGCTGCATCTGCTGCTGTAGAACGTAGGTGATGGGGTACATATGCCTCCTGGCTGGTCCTGGCTAGTAGGCTGCTGGGTGACCCAGGCTGCAGTGGCTCTGGCAGGTCAGACACGAGTGCCTCCAGCCCACCCCTGCCCCTTCAGAGCACATGAACACCCAGTAATGGTCTGTGCCCTGAATGAGCACCTTAACAGTACGATTTATCTCTTGGATCTCCAATATAGGCATTGTAACAAATGACACGTTATAACTATTCAGTAAACATTTGTAGGATAAGCATTATGCTTAGTGATTGTGAAAAAAAGAATAAGACACAGCCCTTGACTTTGAGAAGACTTAAAATCTATTCATTAGAAAAACTATAATATAGAATCCACCGCATGCTCTGCTGGAGAATGAGAGGCAATCTCCTCCTGTTCCAATCAGATCTGATTTGATGGTACACACACACAAAATAATAAAATTTTTAAAAATAATTAAAAAAAACTATAATAATGATGACATCATCAAATGTTACTTGAGATCTAATAATGGCCTGGACACTGAGTAAAATACATAATCTTATTAAAATTATTTTTAATATCTCATGCTATATTCTGTTACTATCTCCATTTTACACATAAAGAAGCTGAAATTCATGGAGTAAAGTCCCAACAAGTACTGTTGATATTGTTATTGTTATATGTTGTCAAGTCAGAATCGCCTCACAGCTGACCTTCCACACACTGCATCGCACAAGAGAACATAGTCCATCTTTCCCCTGAGGAGCACTGGATGGATTCAGACCAGTAGCCTTTGCACAACTCCTTACCACTAGGCTGCCAGAGGTCCCTAAAATCCCATCTTATGACTGGAATATTTTAAAGCCAGAGTTTGAGCCCAGATATGCCTGACTATAATTCATGTTGCAAACTGCTAGGAGAACGAAAAGGTTCGTCCTAGATAGGGTAAAACCAGGCTGCTCCTTAGAGTCAAGGATTCTGAAGCTTTGGCTGATGTACTTTGGACATATTGCAAGGAGGGACCAATCCTTGGAGAGGAATGTCATGCTTGGGAAGGTGGAGGGACAGTACAGGAGAGGAAGATCTTCAATGAGATGGATCGATTCAATCTCTGGGGTCGTGGGTGTGGGTGTGTCAAAGACAGTAAGATTGGCACAGGATAGAGCAGGGTTTAAGGCTGTTGTACACAAGGTTGCTATGAGTCACAAGAGACTCGATGGTGTATAACAACAAGAAGTCATTAAAATGATACTGGCTTTATAGGGACTGGGGAAATAAAAAATAGGAGGAGTTAAAAATAAATTAATCACCTAGACTTTGGCAAAGTTCTCCTCACACCAATCAGTGTTCATTGAATCAACACTCATTGTGAAGATTTTAAGTGAAGCCAATTATTTTAATGAGTGGAGGCCTTTGGGGAACTTCCAGAAGAAGGCAATAGAGACCTATGGACATGTAGAATGCATGAACTGGAGGCCATGGAAATGCTAGGTCACATGAAGCCAGGAAGCGCCTGCTGGTTGCCCTGGTTTCTTCCTGAGACAAGTTAAAATCATAGAGAAGGAAATGTCTGCATGAACCAATTACTGCTGAATCTATTTTGACCCGTGGTGACTCTCTGGGTCAGAGTAGAATAGCTAGAGTTCTAAGAAGCAGAACACTAGCATTTTCTTCCAAAGCACCTTTGGGTGGTTTCACACTGTCAGCCCTTCAGCTAGTAGTCCAGGGCTTAACTGTTCATACTACCCAAAGATCCCTTGTTCTGCATGGCATTCACTAAAAACATGGATCAAAACATCAAGATGGACAGAGTATTTTCATAAGAGTATTTTTGCTTCTCTTAGCATGGAGTCAAGAAATGGACAAGAGATACCTCTCTAGAAGCTGAAGATACTTTGTTTTTCTTGCAGCTGTTTGTGAAAAAAAGGGGCAAAAGGAGGGTGACAGTCACAGTCCACGGTGAGCCAGCGGAGAAAGGCAGGGAGCAGGCCGGGAGGGCTTTGCTAACTGAGGACAGAAAGGCAAAGAGTTCCCCAAAGCCTATGGCTAAGTGGGTTACAGAGACCATCAAGTGGTTAAGCAAAGGAAACCTTTGTGTCAAAGGTGAGGGATTTCTAGAAAAGATCTAAGAAAAGAGTCCACATTTCAGAACTAGGAATTGAGACTGAACATTAAGGGTATGTCTGTGATGGTGTAGGAAATGTCTCTGGGTCTCCATCAACCAGTTCATGTCCACATGATCTTTCTTACTCAACAAACAAACACTGGCTTCATGTGGACTTGTGTGATGTGGAAATGTGTGCACCATATCAGCAATTTGGAAATAGGAGTGGCACCCACAACCTAAACAACATGCCTCCAGAAACTCTATGAACTTTGATAAATGTCGATAGTTGTAGAGGGGCTTCAGGTCTTTTGTTCAATAGGGTCGCTATGAGTCGTGCTTGACTCAATGGCAACCAACAACAACAACATACCAGCAATAGAAGACCACACAGAGCAATCTGCCACTGGAAATCTGGAGTGGACCACAGACAAGTAAACAGGCAATGGTCATACCCAGTGTGAAGATGAGTCAAAGGGCAAGTGGAAAGTGCTCTCTGGATTCTGGAAATTAAGCAGAGTAGGGACGGCACAGAAGGTGAAGACCCTCTGTGAGGTGGATTGATTCAGTGACTGGGGTAATCGGGATGGGTATGTCGGAGGCAGTGAGATTGGCATAGGATAGAGCAGGGTTTAGGGCTGTTGTACATAGGTTCGCTATGAGTCGCAAGCGACTCGGCGGCACATAACAACAACAAATCTTAGGGAGACTGAGTCAACTGTGTGGGTTTGCGTTAAGTTAGGTGAGCACTGAAGGATGACTAGGATTTACCCAGGTGAATGGTGGGAGTGAGATCAAGGTGTTAGAGAGACTTTTAGAGGCAAAGGGGAAAAGCTTGGCTCCAAATCAGGAAGTAATAGAATGAAGCATTTCCACAAGCTGCAGAAGACTTGGTCCAGTTTGAGTTTAAAGTGGAAATTGAGAAGCAAGAGAGGGCATAGGGCAGCCACCCATAGAGTCCAGATTTCGCCCTAAATCCAGTCGAGGGTTTGCCTTCCCAGGGAGGACAGGATGAGGAACTCCTACAGGGGTATCTTGGGGGGTTGGGTCCTTGAATGCTGCTTGTCAACACCTGAGTCTAACATCCACACACCTTCCAAAGAACCAGAGGAAGAGCTTGCCACCCTTTTCTAGGAATAAAAGTAGGGACCTGGTGTTCCGAGGTGACGAGTTCCCTCGTTTGCTGGAAGGATGCATTTTGGACCTCAGGGCACATCACCAACCAAGTCATTTTCCCAGCCTATTTCAGGCTCATTGGTCTCAACCCCAGAGGTACATGAGAATTCCCTAGGAAGATTTAAGAAAAGGATAGAACGAAAGCCACAATGCCTGGGGCACCCTTCGAAATTCTCATTAATTGTCTGGGGGTGGGGGTTGCTGGGCACAGGTATTTTTTAAAACTCCCAGGTGATCCCCTTGTGCCGCCAAGGTGGAGGCCGGGACGCATCTCTGCAATGAGAACTCTCAAAAAGAATGGGCTCCCCCTGCCAGACACTCCAGGCAGTGGATTCCATGTCAACCTGTCAAATCTTCCTGGCAGGTAGTCAGCAGTCGCCTGTGACCACTGCTGAGAGGTCTTCAAACCAGTAGTCTTGGCATCAGTTTCTGGTGTCAGAGCAGAATGTGTCCTGTGCTCTCTGGAATTTCCCTGGCTGGCTTCGTTCTGAAGTAGAAATCCAGGCCTGTCTCCCAAAGCACTTCTATGTAAACTCAAACTTCCAGTCTTTTCATTAGAGAGTGAGCACAGTAGCCATTTGCATCAACCAGGCTCTCAAAAGATCTTCAAACGCAACCCCCTTCTATTTTCTTCTACCCACACCCTCCTCCTTCTACAGGTAGATGAAAAGAGACTCTATTCTAACAAGAAAACCAGAAAGGGCCTCCTGACTCACTCCACTGCTCACCTAGGGAATTAGCCCCTCCCTGGACCACATGTCTATGCCGTGTTCACCGTGTTCACTGGCCTAGTCAAGTCTCATTTGTTACTGCTTTCCTCCTGAATTCACCCAGAAACACCAGGCAGGCCTCATTAGCACATGACTCACGCTCACCCAGTTCCACATCACCTCCCCGCCCCCCGCCACCCCCAGATCTGTTCTCCTGTTTGCCCGCCTGTTCAGTGCAGTTGGGTTTTGTTCCCTGAAAAGCCCTTTTTTTTGTATGGCTACACCGCTGGAAGCGAGGCCACATGCATAGTCCCTTCAGCCCTCTGGCGCAAAACCCCATTCATCAGGAACACCGAGTGACAAGCCTCTGAATACTCCTGCAGCAGCACCCCGCTTTGTACCTTCAGGATGGAAACTGAGACAGCAAATCGTTTGCCCAGAGCCCCTGTTGTCTCTTGCAGCAATTAACAGCCACCCTAGTGCTAATTCCCAATCAATAGGCCTCACCACTTCTCTTAAAGCCATTGGGCCTCCGCGGCACATTTTAAAAGTAACTTGACAGGGCTGTGGCCTCATTCAGCTCCTGAGACCACTCTAGACAAGCCCTCCGCAGGCTTCTAAAGAAGATCAAGTGACCCCTGTAAGTTTCAGGGCTGAGGGACAGAGCCTCAGGGCCCAGGGACGGAGAGGAATTACGCGGTGGATCCTCACATCTCTTTGAGGCTAGGGGACAACTTGGGAGAAGACTTCCTTCATTTCCTGGGCATATCCACAGTGCTTTCATACTTCTTTTTGTTCGTTGTGGATTTTTTTTTTCCTGTTTGTTTTGAGACGGCTGTAATTTTCCTTCGTGTTACAAAACCAAACCACTCAAACTTCATTCAATGCAAATCAATCTTTTCTTTTTCTTTTTTTTTTAATCAAGTAGCCATGGTTGCTCATTTCTTGCTTGTGTTGCTTCCTGCAGCTCCCTGTGGACAGAATGAGACTCGAGAGGATGGGAAAATAATCCAGCTGCCTCCCTGCAAGACAGGAGCTTGGATCGTGCCGGCCATCATGGCCTGCTACCTCTTAGTGGCAAACATCCTGCTGGTCAACCTCCTCATTGCTGTCTTTAAGTAAGTGGGTCCTTCCTTGGGGCGCGGGGGTGCGCTTAGGAAAGCCTTGGATTTTCTCACTTGATTCTCTCGATCTCTGTTTCAGCAACACATTTTTTGAGGTAAAATCAATATCGAACCAAGTCTGGAAGTTTCAGAGGTACCAGCTCATCATGACTTTCCATGAGAGGCCAGTTCTGCCCCCGCCTCTGATCATCTTCAGCCACATGACCATGATCTTCCAGCACCTGTGCTGCCGGTGGAGAAAACACGAGAGTGACCCAGACGAAAGGGACTATGGCCTGAGTAAGTGCCCCCAGCAGCCCGGCCGGTCACCCAACAGGAGTTCCTGCCCCTCCTGACCGGCCACCACATAGAA